CATTTTTCAATATAGTTAAAGAGATTATGTCTTTCAATCATTTTCGAATAAAAAATGCTCATGAAATTCAATGAAATCCCAATGGTCATCTTTGTTGATTTCATGCCTAGAAACTAGGCATTTGCCAAACCACATAAACCAATGGACAGGTAATACTAACACTGAGACATTATTCTAGAATGTGTTTTTAGGTCTACAGAAACATGTAGAAGCCAAGTGGGTATTTCCAGGACAGCAAATAGGAACTATAATGAAATAGCAAGAGTTATGAGGCTGAGTTAAACAGAAAGGTGAAAATGAAAATGCTAAGGTTGGTGGCCATCCCCTGTAACTCTGCTCATTTATTGTGCTCCAGTCTACTTGCTGGGCTGTGTACTTTGTGACAATCATAAAACTTAGAAAGTTGACTACTCAGGGCAATATAGCTTCTCGTGCTTGCATGCATGCCAAAGTATGCAGAAGAGGAAAATGGAAGGCTGTTTCTGTGTCCCTGTTGTCCCCAAGCTCCGTGCTGTGGCTAAGAGCCTGGCCTTCCTGTCCATTCTCAGACTCCACACTTCTGCCTCGTCCCTCTGCTTTAACACCAAGAATGTAGTTTTTAATCAGTTAAAAGCCATAACTGTGAGTAAAAGTTTACTTGGAAATTCAGAACAATCACACAAACTAGACTCAATGATGCAGGTCTGTACTCTCAGCAACTTGGAAGCTGAGGGGGAAAGATCACAAATTCAAGGCCTTCCTGAGCTATGGAATGAGTTCAAGGCCAGCCTGGGAAACTTGGTGAGACTGTATCTCAAAAAAAAAATTAGTAAAGGGGCTGGAGGTACATCTCTGTGGTAGAATATTAAACCATGTGTGTGCCCAGGGTTCAGAACCTAGACCATAAAGTAAGTACCTTACAAGTTGTTTAGGGCCTTGCTGGCTCTTTCCTCTGAATTATAGCAAGAGCTCTTGGATCCTGTCAGATAGAAAGGGTGTGGTCTGATGAAGGTGAAATTTGTCTGACTCTTGTATTTCAGGTTAAGGTGGTGCTCCATCTTAACATTCTGCCAGGCTTGATTTGTTCTGGGACTGATCATGTGCTCATTTTTAAAGCATACTATCCATCAGTGACACATGACAAGGGCTAATAGTATCTTAAGTTTTGGGGCTGATCTAACTGTCTGTGTTTGTCTTTCCCGTAGATTTGTTTTTGCTGTAATCTTTAGCCCTGAGACTGACAAGGAGGGCTGACAGAATGTCAGCTGACATTCATGTAGTCCCAGTGTTTAGGCAGTTTCTCGTCATATGGAATTATTAAATTATAACAAGCAAGCAATCCTGTAGTTGAATACTCCTGGCAATGGTTTGTTAGCCCTTTTAATTGCTAGAGTTGAGAGTTTAGGATTTAGCTATGAAAGTCTTTCTAGTCCTTCAACTTTCTTACCCATAAATAATGGTCAGGCACTGATCTACTGGCTTTGAGGACACTACCTGCAAATGGCTGTTGCAAATGACTCACATACAGTTTAAATGAGGAATGTGCACACAGAGGGAAGGAGCAGTGTTCTTGGTCCTTTAGTACTTTCTTACAGAGTGAGCAGCAGAGAATGCCCTCACACCAGTACAGACACTAAAGCAAGCACTTGTGTATTTTTTTTCTACAAAGAAGCAAAGCAGGCTGCTCACAGGGTCTATATCTTTAAATCGAGGTGAGTCACTGGACACTCATGTCGCTTGCTGTCACCCAATACTCTTAAGGTCTTTTCACTATTACTTATACCCACTATCCCTTTGTAATTGACATAATACACAGAAAACAATACTCTCATTACATACTTGCTAAGTCCATACAAGGCATATGCACACACTTCCTCATTTCTAATCACTGTTTTTTATTATTATTATTATTATTATTATTATTATTATTATTATTATTATTATTATCTCCAATCCCTAGGTTGACAGGGACACTGTCTCCCTGTGGGCTCCAGTCTATAATATACCAGATTTTAGCAGTCTTCATGATTTTCAGGAATTTAAAAACAAATAAAAAATGCAGGAAGAGAAACATGTTTCCTTTTAAATTGAATATATGAAGAAAAAGTGACATGGTTTGTTTCTGTTTAAATAGAAAGCAACTGTCTGAGTTTCGAACGACATCTTATCGAAGTGCGGATGCTTTATTCTCCTTTTCTGGAATTTTAGCCCAAATCATGTTAATCTATAGTTTTAAGAGAAATAGTTCTATATCAGCCTAGCCTTCTACTTTCCTCTGAACCCACAGACGACATTAGAAATAATAAGCCCCTTTTAAGATAAGTTATTTCATCTCAGAATAAATGCTCACACACATATGTGTTTACGTTAATACACTGACTCCAGCAGTAAATACAATAAAGGCTATCATCTTTTAAGCATAGAAAACCTTTTTAAAATTCTAACATCAACTAAATACATTATTGTCTATGTTTTGGATGGAGAAAGTACAATCTAGAGTTTTCAGTTCCTTAATGATTTCTTTGCTCTTCACAGAGTCAACCTAGTGATTTGGGACCTGGGCTTCCTAAGAGGTCAGACTTCATTTCTTGAAATATAGTACCAGGAACATTTACAACAATAAGGTCACAGCCAAAACAAAGTGACTCCATAGAATGTCTAAAGAACAATTTTCAAACATTTGCCTGCATCTGTTTTCCCAGAAAGATTTTAAGGCAGATGCCACTGCTATCTCCATTTATTGGTGAGGGAACAGGTACAGGATTGGAACTAGTGGTCTTTGTCTATTCTGGCTTCTATATCAAAATATCCCAAGCTGAGTAGCTGATGCAACACAGACATTTCCCACAGTACCAGAGACTGGAAATCTAAGATCTTGATGGCAGTGAATTCCATGGCTGGTGAGGAACCATTTTCTGGTTCACAATTGGCAATGTCCTCTGTGTCCTCATATGGAGGCCCAGAATCTCACTTGGATGTGATATGTGAAACTATCCTGGGCAGGTAGGGTGTGCTGATTACAAACTGCTTTTTGTTGCTTTCTTTTTTTGAAGAGAAGGAACCAAGCATAGCCTGGTATGAGACAGTTTCCTTAAATGTAGAACACTGCTATTGCCAGCTGCTGAAAGCTAAGCCGGAAGCCCTTTTTCCAACCAGGAGAGAATTTCTTGTTTTCTCATGGCTGCCATATTATCATCCAAAGACCATACAAAGTATAAAGAAAGCTCATCAATGATAAATTATGGGGTCACTAACCTTTACTAGTGCTTATAGAATTATTAATCCGTTCTTAAAAACATCATTCTTTGCCTAAAATATGGCAACTTAAGCCTGAACTTTTGTGATTCTCAGAGAAGAAAAAAAAATAACACTTTAAATGCCAGTTATGATGGCACACACCTATAATCCCAGCACTCTGGGAGGCAGAGGCAGGAAGATCACTGTGAGTTCAAGGCTAGCCTAGTCTACAAAGCAAGTCCAAGATAGCCAAGACTACAGAGAGAAACCCTGTTGCAAAAAACCCAAAACAGACCAGATTGGGTGCGTTCAGGGTGGTATGGCCATACACAAAAACCCTAAGGAGTTAGCATTATAAAATCAGATGTGGGGGTGTAATTAGATCCTATGGAGGAGGACTGATGAATGGAGTTATGAAAATGGCCCCCAGGAGCTTGACCTTTTCTCCCATTTGAGGACTATAGAATGCACCATTTGTGGACCAGAAGAAAGGCCCCTCCAAGAAACCCACATTCAGGCTCTCAACAACATGGAAACAAATGTCTCCCGTTTATAAACACTTTCTACATTCTCATTTCTGCAACAGGCTGAGACAGTGTCTGTAAGTTCTCATCCCTCCCTTGATCAAACTCAACTACATTAGATACCAAGTCAAGGATACAGCTGCAACACAAGTTATTTCTCAGATACTATAATTTCGCAAAACAATCATCTCTTACTTCATCCCTTCAAAAGAAAACAAAAATCATGGCAATTGCTTTTTATATTATATCCTGGATAATGAGAGATGAAACAATTCACTGATCAATAAACTGTATGCTCATAAAAATATCTATTTCCTTATCACTGTAGAATACAAGCAATTAATAGAGACAAGATGGTAGTCAAGATTTCAAAAATGAAAGGAGCAAAGGGAAAAATTATGTTCTACCTATATAGTATATTAGCAAACTCTGTGTAATTATATTAAATTAAACTAAATAAATTATATATATATATGTAATTTCCTGTTTTGGAAGAAACCAAGTTGGAGATGACAAAAAGGTATCGACAGTTTTAAAAGGGACTGAATAGATTTTTATCTCAAGAATTAAAATTGGCTTCTTTTTCTCCATTAACTATACATGGAAGGGGATGAATTTAAGTCTGAGTTCCTACCAATCCTAGCCTCAAAAGTGCATGTTATGTAGTTCAATTCCACCCCGACGCATCTTAATATTTGCAAATGTAGGACCTCCTAGACAGAATGCATTCACATTGTTGTCACGCTGTTGTCCTTCAGAGCACCTGACTCAGATTCCTGTTATGATATATATTTCAGGTTGGGAACCTGGGTGTTGCCTCATAGCTCAGCCTCCGTGGAACGTTTATTGGACATGTTTATGATTTGCTAATGTGTGCTGTGACCCCATCAGTCTGTTTGCAGTGGGAGGAGGCTGGGAGGAGAGGGACTGTTTGGGGAGGGAGAGTCATTTGTTTGATGTATTCATGGTGGGAGAGGGAGGGAGGGAGGAGGGTTCACCATCATGTTTGAATTTGGGCTAACTTAAGGGGTTCAATTTAGGGGCCTGGGAGGGCAGAACTCAGTGCTAGAGCACAGGCTTATTAGCATGTGTGAGGTCTAGGGTTTGATCCCTAGGACCACACACTAAAAGATAAGGGTCCAATTTTGACCTTCACAAAAAAATTTTGCTATAGTAACTGGATTGTACTATGGTACCGCTTTTTAGTGATCATGAATTATCTTCTTTCTTTCTTTCTTCATTTCATTTTTTTTTCCTCAGGGGAAATCTCTCACATCCAAGAGGTTAACAAGCCTTGTTCAGTCTTACTAGAAGGACCATTTTTGTGACATGAAAGCTGAATGGAGCCATCGCCCATACCTTGTAGCCCATTGCTATTACCTGGAGCTGAGGATGTTAGACCAAGATGCTGCATGAATGAAGGATCTGAATTGTTCTTCTCTGTGTGCACATAAAGGCATCACCATCTCCAAGGGACTCTTTGCCATCTCATTGCCTCTATATTCACCTGTCATCTGCTTCCCTTTCTCCTCTTAAGCTGGATCTGTGTCTTTTTCTTTTTTAACTAGTTCAAGTGAAGTAAAACTTTATTTTTTTCCCTTCCTCTCTTTTTCTAGAAGCTTCTGCTAGATATACAGTTCACTGAAAATTCAGTCAGTCACAAACTGGAAGAATTGTAAAAGAAAAACGTATATATCAACAAGTATACACATGGCTTCACATTTATTAACTAATAAATTAGCACAGAAGGTGTCATTGCACCAGAGTAGCGACACTCTGAAACAAACGCCCATTTCTGTCTGTTCTCTGGACATTGTCTGTTCATGTTTCTTGCGTTTATTTTTATACCATATTTAAATGAGAAAACACCTTTTACTCCAAATGTATCAAAGTTGACCTCTGTAAATTTGTGTATGTTTATATTGTTGTTTTATCTTTCATTAAAAGATGCAGAATCTCGTTGCTTTGGGAACTTTTGTTGCTAGTGCTATCAGTAAAAGAAAGCAAGAAGAGAGCATTCACAGCCTGCTGGCTGAGGCATAAGCTGCCATTCTTCAGTTTCTCTCAGGTTTGGTGGTGTGGAGCCAGGAGCAGCGCACTGAGAGTGTCTCCCTAGTGGGCTGACCTGGGGCAGAGAGATGGTTTGCCTTCTATGAAAAGCATCACATATCAGACTTCCACGTTTTCAGACCTATCTGAAGAGGACTGTCTGGCTTCTGATCAAGCCTATGCTTGACAAAAGCTAATGAATATTTTACTTAGAATGAAGATGGTGATTTTTTTTTAGAGTATATTTCTGAATGTAGCCAAGATGAATGTTTCTTTACTTTCCAGGGGTTACAGGCTCCTTTTAAAGAATCACATGTAATTACCAGCATCTAGTGAAAACTTACTGTTTATCACAGCCTTATGGGCTGATTTAGATACTATTAGCAGTTTTGAGTTTATTGGGTTCATTAAGGCTCACAGTGTATCCTTGAGGGGAAGGTATGGCAGTAGGAGCAGAACATGGGCGGGACTGGTCATCATTATGTCCATTATTAGTAAGCAAAGAGTAGACAGGAAGTGGGATGGGGCTATTAAATACCATGTCTCACTCCCCTGTGCCAAAAGCGTTTCGCTTCCTCTTTCAAGACTTCACATCCTAATGATTCCACAAAATATCAAAACAGGACCACTAGCTGGGTACCAGGTATCAAAGACATATAATTCATGTTCAAAGCACTGAAGAAAAGAGAGGTTCAGCAAATCGTTTGAGGTCCAACAATGGTAAATTGAAATTGGAGGAGAGGAACCTCCTCCTGGCCTGCTTAGTTCTTGGCTGGATCTCACACACTAGACAGGTGAAGAGCAACAACAAAACTCTCACATTTTCTTATCAGAAGCTTTATGTGACGGGCTGCTTTGTATGAAAGCACACATTTAAACCAACAGCTCCAGCCGAATGTTTCCTCAACTGATTTGACATAGTTCGGAAGGCTGTGAAAAGGTTCGATGGGATCAGAGATGTGAGTCAAAGAAGTCATTTGGACAAAAGCCCATAGCTCCTGGGTGCACTAATTCCTCTTAGCATCTTCCCATCTTCAGAGCTATGAATATTTGCCTCTTTTCTGTAGGAAGACCATCACTCACATGAAGACCTTACGATCCAATTCCTGGAAACTTCAGAAAGTCCTCCCTATTTCGGCCATTTCGTAAATCTTTCAGCTTAAACTACCATGTCAGGGCCGTTAGATGGCTCAGTAGGCAAGCCCAAGAACCTGAGTTCACTCCCCAGAACCCATAAGGGGAAGGTGAGAACAGCCTCCCACAGGCTGTTGTCTGACCTCCATATACAGGCCCCTCGCTTCTCAGACACATAAAATTAATAAACGTAAAATCACTTTTTTTTAATATCATGGACTGGAGAGATGGCTCAGTGGTTATGGGCACTTGTTGCTTTCCCAGAGAACCTGGGTTCAATTCCCAGCACCTACATGGGGGTTCAGAACCATCTATAACTCCATTTTCAGGGGAAATGATGTTTTCTGACCTCTAAGGGCACCGAGCACACACCAGGTGCGTAGACACACAGTCAGGCATGACACTCACACGTAAAAATAAATAAATTAATTAATTAATTAATTAATTAATTAATTAATTAATTAATAAGTCTACTTTAAAAGATATTCAACATGCAGGGTATGATGCTTTGGTGTGGCGTTACGTACTACCACCAGACTAAACTTCCAGGCAGTCTGACTTGAAGACCCATTATATCAGACCACCCTATACTCATCCCATTTTTTGGTAAAAAGCCACGGTAGGGGAGGAGGACCTCCCCTATCGGTGGACTAGGGAAGGGACATGGGAGGAGAAGAGGACTTGGGAGAATACCCTGTGGAGCCTCAAGCTCCCTGACTCCCCCAGGAACATTTGCCTTTGACCTTGTTGTTTCATATATATATATATATATATTTAATCCTGGGAAAGCCCTAAAAAAGGACCGTAGAGGAGATACTGCCATTTCTGGTTAATGCCGGCTCCCCTAGGGCTAAGCTGCTAAATTGATATCCTCACCAGGCAGGAGATATAATAGAGCTCAGTCAAGTAGTCAAGGAGGATGGCATCCTTGCCTCTTGGACTAAATCCGTCCTCCAAAGTCAAGTCACCACTTTAAACACACCCCAGAATTGGGGATATCTCTGCCAGTCCTCCCTAACTGGCCTGCTCTCTCTACAATGGGAGGCTCTCTGCAGAAACAAATGCCTCCAGCACGTCAGGTGAAATCATGACTGTAATAATATCACCTGAATCATCCTGCCCTCTGACTCCCAAGACCCTGCCACTCCCCCTGCATTTCCTCCACCAAAAACTGGAAGAGACTCTTTTCCACTTTAATTTTAGAACTAAAATGAGCTTTAAAGAAAAAATCCATCATCCTGGACCCAGAGAACTCATTTTTAAAAACACCATTTGGGAGGGTATGACTTCTGAGTGCAGGCTTGCCTGGCAATGTGTCTAAGGTAAACACTATGATAGAAGGTGAAATATGGATTGCGGCTATCTGGGACAGGTTCACATCAGGCTGCTTCCACTGCCCGGGCCTTTACAACAGTGATGAAAACAGAAGGGGCTAGCTTTAAGCATGGCAAAAAGAAACACTGAAAAGCTGAGTGCCCTAAGGGGGCCTCCTCCACCAGAAATGTCACTACCACCAAGACAGTCTGTCACCAATGCTGTAGGGGCTTCCGCTGGAGGAGAGATTGCTGCTCCTGTTACGACAAAGATGGCAAGTCATTGGAACTTTTACACTTAAAACAGGGCAGCCCACAGCCATGACAATAACAGGGAAAACTGCTCTAATAGAGACATTAAGGGTTTCCAGCATCTCAGAAGGCTCACACCCAAAGATAACCATGAAAAGAGGTGACAAACCATTCAAATACCCCATTGATATTGGAGCAGATAAAAACAACTTTAAGATAACAATAATTAGTTCCCACAAAACTGGGAACTAATTCCTGGGCCTCAACTTCTAGATACAGGAGGTTGTTCTCACCAAAGAAGCCTATAAATGGGAGGACCCTGACAGGGCTACCATCCTGTGGCCAACGTCAACACCAGTCTTCTAGAAAGAGACATCTTGTGGGCTCTCTAACTTATTCTCATTGGTCAGCCAAAATAACATTATAGTAGAGTAAACAATTATATTCATAGTAATGATTATATTATACTTATAAAACTTTAAAAACCCTGCCCCTAGGTTACTCCTGATTCTAAGAACCTCTTTTAAATATAACACTACCTCCCTCAACTGGCTCTCCAATGAGCTTATCTGGGTTGAACAATGGCCTCTATCAAGGGAGAAACTTGAAGTGCTCAGACAGTTAGTTAAAGAACAACTCCAGTTTCACTATATTCACCCTTCCTGCAGTCCATGGAACACAGCTGTGTTCGCTGGAGGGGCTAGGAACCCCAAAAGGAGACCAACAAAACCATAAAAACTGAACCCTGGAGGCCCTGAAGAAATTGATACCCCAACCAAGGACTATGCTTGCAGAGGACCTAAAACTCCAGCTCAGATGTAGCCCATAGACTCAGTCTCCAAGTGGGGTCCCTAGTAAGGGAGCAGGGAATTTCTCTGGCATGAACTCAGTGGCTGATCACCTCCCCCTGGGGGGGGGGGTGTGTGCAGCCTTACTAGACCACAGAGGAAGACAATGCAACCTGATAGGCTAGGATCAAATAGAAGGGGAAGAGGACCTCCTCTATCAATGGACTAGGGGATGGGCATAAGTGAAGGAGGGTGAGACTGGGAGGAGATGAGGGAGGGGCCACAGTTGAGATACAAATTGAATGAATTGTAATAAATGATAATAATAATTTTTTTTAAGAGCTCAGGGGGATGGAGGCTGCTACAAGATTTAAGGGCAGTTAAAATCATGTGAGTCTGGGGTTCTCCACAAAGGGGCCTGCCCCAAGCCTCAGGCATCCCTGCCAATGTTCCTTTATTAGCAATAAATATCAAAGACTGATTTTTTTTTCCTATTCCTCTCCACCTGAGGGATTGCCAATGCTTTGTGTTCTCAAAACAAAACAGAACAAACAAAAAAAGAAAACCAGCATAGTAACAGCTCTGGACCTGCCTTGTGATATGAGTGGACAGCCCTTCCCCAAGAGATGGCAAACAGTCCCAACATCTGGTAGGAGGCTGTTGCCACGACACCAAGACCCAATTTAGCTCTCCACATTTGTCATTATATGAATGGTATCTTGATGTCAGAAGACACTTCCCCTCCCTCTCACAACTTAAGGATCAATGAATGTCTTCCCTATCCTCCCTAGAATTTAAAATAGCTCCTCATAGAATCAGCTTATCCCCCCCCCCCAATCTCATTTTTGGGAAACAGAAATTTCCCTCGCCTCAATACACCCTCGTAAATTCACCCTTTTCTTTCCTCAAACCTTAGCTCTCACCCTCCTCCAAAGCTTTTTGGGAAACCTTGATTGCCTCTACCATGGCTTTCCCTCCCCATCAGTACCCTACAGCTCTCTTTGATCTCCTAAAAGAGGATAAAGCCCTCCTTCCCACGAGCTCTCTCTTCTGAGGCTGTTGAGGCTTTAGGTACCATTAATGCACCCCTAAAGACATGGCACTCACTAGGTATGATCCAACAATGTGCATACAGCTTCTTATTTTTAACTTCTTCCCTACTCTTGTGGGAGCACTCTATAGATCCAGAGAGTGCTGGGATGGTTCCATACCTCATGGGCGATGCACCTAGAACCCTAACTGAGGTTGATGTACTCACTCACTGTTATGATTAGAAATGGAAGGGACAGAGTCCTGCAAACCTTAGGAAGAGAACCTGATAATCCTTGTTACCTCTTTCTCTCTCTCTGATACTTAATGGCTGCTCAGAAATCATTCCTGCTTTGCTATTAGCCTAATTGGATTCCCAGGACAAATTGATAAT